TCGTTTAAGTTGCGTCGGCTAAATATCGATCGATTTATATTTCGAATTTTTAGTTGTACACTGCTAAACCGAAACTTCGAAAAATCATAACTTTCTCATACGAAGTCGGATTCTCACGTTCTTTTTATGAACGTTCTCGGTTTAACATATTCTACAAGTTTCATTTAGATTGTTAAGGCTAAAAAGCCTTTTATCGAAAATTCAGTTTTTACACTGAACAGTGTTTTCCCGGTTTTGTCGTGGATTTTCGATTGGTCATAACTTCTTCGTTATAACTCGGATTTTAGTGTTCTTTATGTTTTTGGAAACCTTGTTACAAACTCTACCACTTGGTTTATCCCAATTACGATTATTGATCAATTTATTTTTGACCAAAATTTGACTGGTGTCACAATAGGCGCTTTAGTCACATTAGTATGGTTGTAACGAATCACATAGAGAATAACAATATTCTTTTAAAATTTATGCATAACATATACTCTACTCATTTTATAAAGTACAAAACTACGTGTCGTCTATTTTGCCACTAATTTCACCACTCTGGTCTTAGAGTTTTAAGACCACAACTTTTCGTATAATAGAAAATATAGGATTTTCTAGGAACACTCTCTATATAATTTCAAACAAGGTAAACAAAAAATACACATGCAATTATACATGATTTGAAACGAGTCTCGCAAACTATTTTTATAGAAAATATTGGATTTTCTGGAGTTTACAAACTAATACAAAGTTTTCTTACAAATATGCTTATGAACTCACCAACATTCTATGTTGACGCTTTTCAAAACGACTTGTATTCTCAGGGACTCAGTAAGCAGGTTTTGCAGCTATGGATTTTGGATAAATGTTGTATTTTGGAAATATCATACATTGTGTTATTTTGGATGTAATTTTATGAACAAACTCAAAGTTGTAAACAATCCATGTTGGTATCTGAATGTATGATGTTTGGTTGCTATGTCTCATTTATAATCAACTGTTATGATATTACAAGATGAAGTCACTCGCTCCCGGACGTTTCCGCCGTCCCGGTTCGGGGGTGTGACAAATTTGTTTTTTGAAACTTATTTATATAGTTATCATCAAAGGAGACATAATACGTTTCTTCAATCTTTCTTGATTTCTTGTTGAGAACCCTATATGCTTTAGAAGTTAACGAATAACACAGAAAAATGGCCTCATCAGCTTTGGCATCGAATTTGCTCCTTTGTTATTTAGATTTGAATATGAAGCACTTAAAGCCAAACACATGAAAGAATTCAATGTTAGGTTTTCTTTTGTTCAGAATCTCATAAGGAGTAATTAAGAATCTTTTGTTGATGAATGAGAGGTTCTATGTGCAAGAAGCAGTTGCAATAGCGTCACCCAGAAGTAAAGAGGAAGATTCGCAAAAGATAACATCGTTCTTGCAGCTTCGCAAAGAGAGCGGTTTCGTCTTTCAATGACACCGTTCTGCTGTGGAGTGTAAGGAGCATAAAAGTTTATAATATAGTGTTGTTTTCATATATCTTAAATAGTTGGCTATTTTTTTTATAACATTAACATTAAATTACATTACAAACATAAAAATAAATAAATAAATAAATAAAAGAAGTTATGTAACTTTAATATATTCACACATGTATTAAATAAGTATAAACATATGTACAACACACAAGTATTTATATGTGACAATCCCAACTCACAAAAGCAAAAACGCATGCCACAAGTTCAATAAGAACCTACCCCTATTCTTCGTATGAAAGGAAATTGATCACAGAGGAATCTATGTACACTTGTTTTTTTCTCAAGTAGTATTTGACATTTGTTTATTCTTTGTGTTCATTGGTAATGTAACATTAGTGATAGGCAACTTAACAATTTTACATGTTCTCTAGTTCTTATTCGTTAGTACTTCCCTTTGAATATTGCCCCACATAGGGTTTGGCTTTTTCCAATAATTGAAATAGTAAATCTTGGTGGTAATTTCACAACTTTTATCTCATGATACAAGTGTAACTTACAAATGGTTATATCACTCACTTTGTCTTATCTTTCTAATAAAAACTTGAAAACCGTAGATTGGGAAGATAAAAGTTTAATACAACATAAAACTCCCATAACATGATTGTATAAATGTTAGATTTGACCGTACAAGTGTTTAACAAAATTTAGAGAAAAGTATACAACTATTATCGCATGTTATAAAAGTCAATAGGATTGTTATTTGTGATTGACTATTCTACTATGAATTAAGATATCAATAGTGATTTAAGTTGATACAACACATGTTTTGGTGGCCCATTATGCTTGGCCTCTCTTTATTATGATCATATTTGGTATTGCTAGCTATTTATCAGTATGTGGTCCCTAACACAAAGTACTCAGATTTCCACATACAAATATGTCTCTCCTTTGAACTTCTTTTGTTCCACTACTTCATCCACATAAACTTCTTGACTCGATTCTTTCAATTATATGCTTTGCCATAAGGTAGGACCCTTTCTCTGGAAGTTTGTTAGTTGAAAGCATTGCATCTTCCAAAACGTATGAGAGATGCCCATGTGAACTTCAGTGTCGTAAACAAATCCATAGATCTTGATAGAATATGATTGTAACGTTTACTTCTTTATGTAGGCATGTAGAGTTTTAACATGATTTTGACATCTAATGGTAATAAAAGGAGAATTCAAATCATGTTAATGAGATCCCAAATGAAAATAAGAATGTATAAATACACTTTTAAAATAACTTCTTTTGGAAAGCAAGTTGAAACAAACACATATACCTTAAAGCCGAAAGACAAAACAAGACCATATATGGCATTGTTGAACACAAGTTTTTAACTTTCCACTTTATTTATCTGTTTTAGATTTAATGAATCAATGTTTTTAAATCTTTGTTGGATGGGGTCCTTGATTTTGATATAAATTAGTTGTGTCTTTTTCAAGAGAGATATGAGTAGATTTTAGATCAAGAGGCTTTTTCAACACATGTATCATTTAATTATGATAGCACTGTCTCCCCTGGGCTTGAGGAAACAACTACTAGTTACTAGGGTCCATTTTGTATTTATGTGAGCATAGAAAGGGAATTTGAATCTATTGTTGATTTTGGTTTAAGCTATTCATTGTGTTTGTCTTTAGATAATAATAATAATAATAATAATAATAATAATAATATAACGAAAGTCAAATATATCAGTTTTTTATTTATTTTGAGTCGGGCCAAAGTTATTTTGTTAAAAAATAAAGGATCAATACCTCCGCTATAACATGTAAATAATGTTTTAAATTAAGAAAATATATATTTTAAGCTTAAAAATATTGAAAATACAGTTGTGTCTATTGGATTATTACGTTAACTTTGGATTTTTTTCCCATTCAATTTAACATGTTACCTTCTCTCTCTCTCTCCCTCTCTCTCTCTCATTTATTTATTTATTTTTATTCTTATTACTTTTTTTTGAATTTTTACCTTCTCTCTCCCTCTCTCTCTTTCTCATTTATTTATTTATTTTTATTTTTATTACTTTTTTTTGAAAATACAGTTGTGTCTATTGGATTATTAGTTTTGAAATTCAAAAAAAAGTAATAAGAATAAAAATAAATAAATAAATGAGAGAGAGAGAGAGGGAGAGAGAGAGAGAGAAGGTAACATGTTAAATTGAATGGGAAAACAATCCAAACTTAATGTAATACATTACGTTAACTTTGATACAAGGCATAGGGTTTATAAGAAAAATGTCATTATTTTGGCAAATTTTTCTGATAAAGTCATAATTTTGTTTAAGAAAAAAATCTGAATTATTTAAATTTTGCTCAAATTAACGAAATAAAAAAAAAATCATTTTAACAGGAAATGAAAGATTTTGTAATTTTCTCAAAATAATGAAACTTTTTTGTTCAAAAAAAAAAAACAATGAGAACTTTATCAAAAAATTTCTCAAAATAATGGAAATTTTTTTCATAAAACACAATCATATATTAATGTAATGTCCACGTTTATAACTAGTCATAGTTATAATCTGTAATGTGTGTGTAGAGATGTTAAATATATACCACGGATAACCAACCAACATTTACCATCCGAACCAAGAAAGTTGGTTACCAATATATTTGGTAGCCAACATGTTTGGTTGCTAGTACCGTACCAATTCAATAAACTTGGTACGGTAATCGTCTTAAATTTTAAATACCACATTATTATCGTACCAACCAATTCATATATATATATATATATATATATATATATATATATATATATATATATATATATATATATATCGTATTTTTTAATGTCAAAGTGTTAACTGTTTACGATTTTAAAAGTATGATATTAGATACTAGACTTAATCAATAGTTATTACCACATTAGATTAAAAAACTGAAAAGTTATTTATTAAAATTTGACAAAACTTCAAAAATGTCCTTGTGGTTTCACAAAATCTGAAGTTTGGTCCCTAATTTACAAAAACCTCACGGATCGTCCCTGTGGTTTCAAAACTTTTAACATTTGGTCCTTCCGGCTCACTCCGTTACCATTTAGCCGTTAAGTAAGGGGCATTTTTGTCATTTCACTACCCTGGAACCATTTATGAGGTTTCTATTACTTTTTTTTAAATAAATAAATAAATACAATTTAATATGCAAGGGGTCCCACCCCCTCCCTCCCCCCCCTCTCTCTCTCTCTCTCTGGTATAAGAATAGATCTAGAAATGTCGCCGTCTCCCATTTGATCACCGACACAACCAATTGAGACTGTCCCTCTCCGTCCAGCACCACCAAAGCCAATCAAGAAACACCACAACGCACCAACCTACATCCCCAAAAACCTCTTTACTCGACCAAATGTTGTCGGCGTCTCATTCCGTCTCTCATGGCGTCCTCGGTAAGCTTCTTGATGTCAAAGTAGTACTTTCTGAACACAAAGTCGTTGTTTAAGAAGAAACCCAGACTTTTCAAGACAAAACCGACAAAGGTATTAAAGAAACAAGAACAGGAATACTGAAGACCGAGATGGAATCGATGGATTCGAAGATTCCGAACCATTCACTTCAAAAAACGGACCCTCATTACTTTCCAACTGTTCATCTCCTTCCCCCAAATTCCATTCCGCTACAACTCCTGGACCAAGGGAAAGAGAAATCGTGGAAATTTTTAGAAAAGTCCAAGCCCAACTCCGGGAACGAGCTGCACAAAAGGAAGAGAAAAAGGTGGAGGATTCACAATCACAAGGACACATATTCCATTTCAGGTTTAAAGATAAATCAACAAGAAAATAAGGAAGTTCGGTCAGGAAGATTTCTAGTAGCCAGACTTCTTTCCTGTGAAACGGGCAATGGTGGTAGCGACTTCATCCACCGCTTCTTCTTCTTTCTTGTTCCTCACTGCACTCTCTACTCTTCTCAAGATCAGGACCTCTCTTCTAATTGCCCCTACCGTCCAAAGAGAAAATATCAAAATCATGCTCTTCTTCTTATTCTGAAGCTTCATATTTGGAAACAGTTATGAGGGTGTATGTGCTCGATACTTAATTTTATAGATTTTTTATTGCAAGTATCGATACTCAATTTTGTATGTTTTTGATTTTCAGTATCTGTGTGTGAAGTATGTATGGTTTAAATCGGAAAGGAACAAGATGGGGTAAGAGAGAGAGAGAGAGAGAGAGAGAGAGAGAGAGAGAGGGTGGGGGGGGAGAGAGAGAGAGAGAAAGAGAGCTTTTAATATTAAATAATTATATACATTTTTTTTCTAAATAAGGCAAAACTTCATAAATGGTCCCTGTGGTAGTGAAATGATAGAAATGCCCTTCATTTAACGGCCAAAAGTTAACAAAGTTAGCAAAAAGGACCAAATGTTAAAAGTTTTGAAACCACAGGGACGATCTGTGAGGTTTTTGTAAATTAGGGACCAAACTTCAGATTTTGTGGAACCACAGGGACCATTTTTGAATTTTGTCTTAAAAAATTTTAGTAACTAGAATAGTTAATTTACTAATTTATATTACTAGACGAGAAAAGTGTCCTGTATTGTTACTAGTCTTTAACTATTACAATTGAAAATTAGAACAAAGTTGGTAATATATCATTACCAATTTGTAACAACCAAACTTGTTGGTAGCCAAACAAGTTGGTACCAAGTATAGTTTGTACGGTACTGGTAGCAAAAAATTTATACCACTAGAGTTGGTACGGTACACGGTTTGAGTAAAAATCAAATGGTACCGTACCATTTTTAGCCCTATGTGCGTGTGTGTGTGTGTTTATGTGATTTATATAGATCTTACGTATATAATATTTGTGCAAAAAGCTAATTTGAAAATTAATAAGCAAAGTTAAAATAGAAATTAAAAATAAAAGATTATTTAGGATAAATAATCTAAACAAAAAACTAAGTAATCGAAAAGTGAACTCATAGATATAAAAAAAACGTCTAAATCTGACTTCATATGAGAAAGTTATGATTTTTCGAAGTTTCAGTATAACATTGTTTGACATAGAAACCGAAACTAAAATCGGTCGATGGTTAGAAAAAAGAATCTAAACGGAAATTGAAGATATCATGAATAGAAATCCGTTGATATAAAGACAACCGAGAATGGAGGTCGTATGAGAGAGTTATGATTTTTATAGGGACTTTAACAGTCTAAGTCTGTTAAAAATATAACTTTAAAAATCAATTGAAAATTAGTCGACAAAGTGTAAACAATAGTTGTAGTACTCGTTGATAGCTACACGTGGATATGAAGAATGTCGAAAAAGGAACTCGTATGAAAAAGATATGAATTTTTTAAAAATAATAAGATTTTGTGCGCATAGACAGCGCGCACTCACAACCAGACGCACCCCACCCAAAATTTAACACATGGCAGCATGCGAGCGGAACCACGACAACATCTCCGACCAGAGGCGCGGTGCGCCCACCTTTTCCCAGCAATAAATATAAGTCATTTTTCATTCATTTACCTCACCAATTCACACCCAATTACTCTAGAATCTCTTCCATCCTGTAGCCCCAATACTCCCTAGTTCCCAACTACTTTAACGAGGCCCTGCGGCATCAAAGAGCCGGAGAAGTATAAGTTCCAGTGTCATAGTTATGCATGCGTAATTATCGATTCTCGATAGAAAACTTTGTAAGTTAAGTTGCACTACTATACTTTAAGTGTAACTTATATTTATAGTCATAGTCGTTATTATGAACCTATAAATAAAACTTAGCAGTTATTCGAAGTCATAATATTGATTGGTCTACTTAGGGGAATGATCTATAAGCTGGATTTAGTAATATGTTTAAAGTGAGATTACCAAACAGTATACTTTGTATACCAAATAGATCATACTTCCAATATGATCCAACCTGGTTATTCCTTAATTGATAGATTTTAATATAGACATTGAGATTATTAATGAATCTATACTATCATTATTACAGTCACAAGGATTATGAAACTAGACTAAGATTTAGCGCTATTTAAATCTAGGTCATTTGAAAGGATAAGGTGTTAGACGAAGCGCTGCCCTAACCTGAAATCATCCACTCTTCTTAGGTGAGTACGTATTTACTTTCAAGAGCATAATTTAATAATAGTATTTACTAAATACTAATTCTATTAATTATATTTTGTTCTATTTTTGTAAACTATAATAGTGTTACTTGACTAGGAGCTGCCTTCGAATTCGATTGCTTTTGGTATTGTTTAGTTATAAAAAAATAAGGGTTGTTGTAACACCCGCAGATTCGGGCTAGTTAATTTAGAGATAATAAATGTTCAAAATAACTTTTTGATAGAAGATTATTTAGGACATATAATGTTAACAAAAATTATAGTATATGTAACAATGATTCCGCAGATATCAGGAACGCTGAAATCTGACTTATAACAAAGAAGTTATGACGTGTAGAAATTTTGCGACTAAACCGGCACGACTCTACGTAACGTAAAAAGTAAATTTTTGATAAAATGCTTTTTAGCCTTAGTGATCTAAACGAAAGTTGTAGTAGTCGTTAAACCGAGAGCGTGCGAATAAAGAACATATAAATCTGACTTTGTTAGAGAAAGTTGTGATTTTTTTAAGATTCAGCATACAGCTCAAAAATCGAATTTTAGATCGGTCGATTTTTAGGTAAACAATATAAACGAGAATTAAAGATCCCGTTAATAGGAGTTCAATGATAAAAAGAGAGTCGAAAACAGACGTCGGATGAAAAAGTTATAAATTTTTAACGGACTTTAACAGTCTAAGCCTGTTAAAATATAACGTCAAAAATAAAGTCAAAATTAGTCGATAGAGTCTAAACGAAAGTTGTAGATCTCGTCGATAGCTACGTGTGGATATAAAGATTGTCCAAAACAGAGTTCATATGAACAAGTTATAATTTATAATAGAATATTTATGTATTAAAATAACGTATAAATATATATATATATATATATATATATATATATATATAGAAAGGTATCGGCGATGCAGTCGTTATAAGACTAATATTGAATACTTTCCGACATTAGTTTAGTATAAATATCGTTAAATCTATTTAAAATACTATAGACTCTAGGCTCTCATATTTCTTGCACCATTCTCTTTATTCAAGAGTCTTTCTCTTCTTATCCCTAAACATTTCGGTCCCTCGTGATTCGACTTCTCTTTCTATAGTTTTAGTATAGTAAGCTGAGCGTTGATGCGACGAAGTTCTGATCACGAAGTTCTTATTTTCACTAGAAACCCTGTAAGTTGAGCTACACCTATTACGCTTTAAGTGTAACTTCTATTTAAATTCATTATTGTTATTATGAACCTATAAACAAGATTTATTTGTGATTCTAAGTCGTTATACTGATTGATCTACTTACGGGGATGATGATAAAGCTAGATTTAGTAAGGTGTTTAAAATGGGTTTTCCAAACAGTATAATATGTATGCCAAACGGACCCTACCTCCGATATGATCTTACCTGGTTGTCCCTTATCAGCAACAGATCAGTAAACTTTGAATTAATGATGAATCTAGACTAATAATTAGTTGCAATAAATATCAGACTAAGACTGAGTGATAACGATACTAGGTTACGTAAAAGGAAAAGACAGTTGCTAAAAGCGAAGCGTTGTCCGTGTTTCGAGTCGTCACTTTAACAAGTGAGTGCATAGTTACTTCCATCTTACACATAGATACGAAGTATTTAACATAATTACATGTTATACGTGTCGATTATCTTTGTTCCTGATATATATGCTAGATGAACAATTTATACATGTTTTGCTTGATTTAAATTGTATATGTATTTTATACCTATAAATATATTAGGTAAAGATTGGTAGATGAAAGATGATATAGTTGATAAGAGATGAAATATGAAATAGATGCTGAGTGGCCTTGACTTTAAAGATGATACAGTCATCTAGCGGAATATAGATGATAACCACAGAGTATTCTACACAGTCCAGTGGAATGCTGGCAGGCTCACAAACTGTAGGTGTTTTTGAACTAAGTGTTCAGCATGTGTAATCCATCCGCCATGGTTTCCTTACTAAAATATATTTCTATGTAATCCCCTAAGAATTATTGTCTATCCCAAAGATAATCCTTAGGATAAGTCCCTTGAAATATATGCTTTAGGGACAGAAAGTGGGGATAACGGGAACAAGTAATCGGGTTGAATGATTTGATGAAAATAAAGAATTTAATTATTGTGGGTTGAAACCCTATATGCTCACCAGGCCCTAGGCCTGACCCACTCAATTTCTTGTTTTACAGGTAGTGGCACAAGAGCACAGGTGTGATGAACAGATGAGAGATTTATGGATTATAAGCCAATAGAATATTAGATGTTTGCAAGGCATGTACACTTTCCGTTTATACTTATGTATTGTATTTACGATGACATCCCAATGTTTTAATATGATTAAAATACATTTCTTTAGAAATGCTTTGATACTATCTTTTTGATATTTTTGGAACAAATTTTGCAATATGATTCTTAAAAAGGATACTCTGATTTTAAATAAAGCATAAACAAATCGGTCTTTTATGGTCGTGGAATTGGGGATGTCACAGTTGTTATCAAAGAATTAGTTTTAGAAACTACGAGTTTGTAGTATTTGTAGACTTAAACTTAGAATGCTAAGCGATTATTGTAAGATGAGTGTCTGCTATATTTAGGAGGTATACCTAAATAGACACGAGCACTAGCTTATTTAAGGAAGATGCCTAAATTGCTTTTATGTGCTAAATGATTTATGTATAACTATAAAATGTCGTATATGCCTTATGATGCTATTATTTGATCAGATCTATGGTCTATTGCCGACTATATCTTGAAACTTTGTGTGTTCTGATTTCTAAACGCTTAAATACGGTATTAGAACTGACATATAACTTTTCAGAGTGATAAGGAGATTTATATGTCTATCGTAAATAAAGGTTTCCCTACTTTAATTCTTATCAGTGTACACTAAACACCTGCTTTGGTGTATAGATCGAAATGGTGAGAACTTGCAGCGGATTCGAAAA